ATGTGTCTTAAATATATATATATATATATATATATATATATCTATATATCAAATTTCTCACCTCTTCTCCATCGCAAACCCATGGAGATGGAATACACTCTCCTGGTGTACATTCAAAATGTTTAGGCTTGCATTGCCCAGTTAACATCGATCGTTTTGAATCTAGAGACAAAAGTAATTCATTTTATGTAATGTATGTAATAAATAATAATTTTTATCTTACCAAATACCAATTCTTTTTTTATAATTCAATTTTTATGAGATTGAGAAAGATATTAGCTTTAGGATCCTTTAAGGATATATCATGTCCATTTTTATAATTTTTATATAATGTTTACATAATAAACTTACAGATAATTCTAAATTGCATTTAAAATTAATACGAAAAAATTTAGCAACGATTTAAAAATGACTTCTTCACACTGGCATTTAACCTTCCAGTACGGTATAAAGTTCAGTGTTGGCAATTTATAATTCGATCAAAAAGATTTAAAGTTAATAAATATCACATATATACCAATATTTCCACAGGCAGGAATATCACAATATTCACGTTCCCCATTTTCAATGAAGCACCATGGTCTTGATTCCTTTATCGGATTGGGATTTCTACAATAGTTATGTGTTTTCAGCTTTTCTCGAATTTGTTCATTGACAACCTATGATGGTAGAAATTAAATTATACTTAGACAGACAACATATCTTTAGACACATATAACATTTTTACACAAACCTACATTTATGCGTAATTGATGTGCGATTCTTTCGTCAGCCCATGAAAGACATTTATTTCCTAATACTGTTACGTTAGCTTTACCAGTGTATTGATTTCCTTTCCCATAAACGCAACCTGAAAACAGATATAAAATTGCGAATCGTCTTTCTATATATCCGACATATTTGTCATACTATATGTTATAAAATATTGTATTATTTTATATTTCAAATATTATACAATGTATGTACAATATAGGATATTTGTATCTAAAATCAAATTAAGTAAACATCCGATAAAATATAGCAGTATATATAACATGCAAGTTGATTTAGAAAAAAAAAAAAACGAAAGAATTATTAAATATAAAATCATATAATTTATCATGTTTAATTTATTGCAACATAAGCGACATATATTTTAACTCAATAATCTATTAATGATACCGATATCATCATATGGCCTCTTGCAAATGAAAGAATGCCCTTTTGAAGTAGTTGCACAATCTTCAGTATCCCAGAAGAAATAATCTGTGTTACATATTGACTCGGGTCGTTCGTGACATGGAAATTTCCGTTTCATTACGATACAAAGAGGACGAGAACCCACCCATGGTGGTTGTAAGGTATCATTCATCCATCCAGGCCACCATTTTGTAAATCTAACAAAATGTCCATATTTTATTGTTTATTTAATTTTAACAAGGCGTAAATTAATTATTCGCTCAACACAAAGTGTAGTTGGCTTAACAAAAAGAGAAAAGAGGTCATTAATAATCATACTTGAATTTCGCATGAGTGGAGTCCGCCCACAGCCACAAGCTACGATTCATGGTAGCGAAACCAAAGCCGGAAGTCATAATCGAGCTAACTTTCGGATGGGATTGCAACAGCCACTCCGAAACAAAGTTATTCTCCGCTTGATTAGTGATGTCGATGAGTCGTGCATTCCTTTGTTTACAGTGGTCTAATGCTTCAGCATGATTAAGTCCGCTACTAGGATCAGCTAAATAGTAGCAATGTCCATTGTGAGGAATTTCGTCCTTGCGACAATGCGCGACACGATTGGAGACGCATCGTACACCGATTGCATCTCTATCTACACGGCACTCTTGATTATGCGTGAATCTAAATTATTGTTCAATGTTTTAACAAAGATCGTTGTTACAATTTGTTTTTTTTTTAATTTTTTTTTAATTTTTAAATATTGTAAATAAAAATAATCACAAATTTAAGTTGATGGCGAACCAATGAGTGAACCCCCCCGACGAGAACGTTCACACATATGTACCTCTAAACATACATAAATATATTTATGTATATTTATGTATACACACATACATACACTCATATATACATTTCTGCACGCATATGAACAAATTTTCATCGATCGATTTTTCGTATCGCAGATAGATATCTAGCTTAATACTAAAAAACTCAACATTGTTTCTTCATGTAATCTTCTAGTTTAGCACATATCAGTTTTATAGGTGTAGACTGCAAAATTTTTATATAAAGCAAATTGACGCGACTTGAGAGCTCTGGACGCTATATTAAAGTATCAAATACGTAAAAAAGATACTAAAT